CACACACACACACACACACAGTTTTTTCCAGAACCATTGGAGAGCTGGAGACAGCAGGACATTTCACCTCTAGATGCTTCTGAGTCAACTAAGAATGTGAACATTCTCCTCTATAACACAACACTCATATTCAAAGCATTCACGTTGATAAATCCTTTATCAATGTACGGCTCTTACTAGCATAGCCCCATTGTTCCAATATGTGCTTTTTGCTTTTTGTTCTGACACAGGAGCTGATCACGGATCAAAGCATTGCCTGAACCTGTCCTGTCATTCTAACCAACATTCCCCTCCTTTTTCTGTCCTCCAGGACACCTGCATTTTTGCAAAAGGATCCAGTCATTTTGCAGAAAGTCCCTCAGTTTGGGTTTATCTGCTGCTTCCACATAATTAAATTCAAGGTATGCGGTTTCGGAGGAGCAGCATGGATGCAAGCTCAGATGGCCAGTTTCCCCCTATTGGGGACCTTATTTTTGATCCCATACTTTGTCACAGATGAGAGCATCTTGCAGAGCTTGCCTGCGTCCGCTCCCCTTACCCCCCAGGCCAGACTAGTTGGAGGCTGCCCCATAGGCGTGGAGAGGTGACTGCCTCTGGGGCTTTGAGGACTGAAGGGGATCGGGTGTGGCCAGAACTGCTTCCTGGGCTCCTAACCCTTCTCCCCACCCTGTGGTTCTGAGGAAGGCATTGGCTTGCTCTCCTGGCCCCGCCTTTGAGGACTTTTCAGAGAGTACCAGAGGAGAATGCCATCATCTGTCATCACAGGAGCAGCTGCGGATTATATTAATAACACTGCTGAGTTTACAAAGGACTTTCCCATTCATTTCCAGTTGCAAATGAGAGCTGTTTCCTCGAACACCTACTACCACACTGTTGAAATCATCACATACCTTAGAATCACGTAGTCCTCACAACCTCCCTGAGAGGCGGGTACTACTGTCACCCTGTTGTTTGGATGGGACAACTGGAGGCACAGAGAGGTCAAGCAGCCTGCCCAAGGTCACCTCTCAAGCCCTGGCCCCTTTGGCCCTCTGGGTCAGGGTGTTGAGCACCATGTTGCAAGTTCTCCTTTAAGCCTCAGAGCAGGTCAGGTGTTGAGCAGGGCAGAGATGGAGGGACCCATTTGCAGATGGAGGAAATAAGGCCCAGAGAGGTTGTTGTGCATTCCGATGAAATTTGTGGAACTGGGACCAACGCCAAAAACTTCTGAGTCTTTGCCTAGAGCCCTTTCCACAACCTCAGGCTGCTTCTGGGACTGAGGCCAAAGATGCCAAGGGTGCTTCTGGTGATCTGCCACGAGGGGCAGGTAGAGGGAAGGGCAGTGGCAGTGACTGTCCCTACACAGCTCCCTCAACACAGCCACCACGCCTGGAGTAGCGATACCCTGCCTCAAAGCAGACAATTTGAATCACCTTTGCCCCCGAACCATGAGCCCCTCTCACCTGCCCATGTAGCTGCCACAGCCTGCTTCTCTCTGGCCGTGGAGGGAATCATCCCTACCCGTCATCTCCTCTCACCTAGGCAACCACATTTTAGAAGGAAGTGGCTGGCTCCTCTGGCAAACCCCTGTCCAGCTCGACAGACCTGAGCGGCTGGTTTCTTAAAGGTCTCAGAGGACAAGCCCAGAATTCCAGCCTACTAGTGATCAGAGGAAGTACCAAGCCAGGGGCGGTGGCCTGGAATCATCTGGTGGGAGGTGGATGAGACAAGAAAAGCCAGAGGGCAGAGAGGGAGAGGTCTACCTCTTACCTACTCTGCAAATCCTAGAACAGTTCATCTCTTCCAGGAAGCCCACCCTGATCTCCCCGGGACCCACCAAGCTCTCCTCAGCTACATAGGAAAGTGCTTGATTCTGCTTTAACCACTGGGGCAAATTACTTGTGCCTCTTGCATAGTACAACCTGGGGTTGGGGGGAGAGGGAGGGCATCTTTGTGTGGCTCTTTGGGCCTAATCCTGAGTTGTATATGCAGTAGGTACTCATGCTTTGATTAGCTGAATAAATTGAAAGAGTTCACTCATTCATCTGTTCATTCATTCACTCAAAAAATCATTAGTGAACAACCGTGTTGAGTGAGACTCTCTTCCAGGGCCCTTGCCCTTGGGAGCTGACATCCTAGCGTTGGGAGACAGGCACCAGATCAGCAGGCAACCTGAGGCCAGTGCTAGGAATAAAGTGCAACTAAACGAATGAATGAAGTGGAGCTGGGGATGGGAGAAAGGGCCCGGGGAAGAGGGCTCCCACCCTCCCACTGCCCTGGCAGACCTGCCCTCGCTCCACCACCCCCGGCACCACGGAAGGGCAGGTGCACTGCAGAGTCTGGGCCCTGGGGTGGGGCTGTCTGTTGGCCTGGCCTTATCTTAACTGGAGAGAAAATATTCTGGGAAGAGATATTCTTCCTGGGCTCTGGGAGCAGTGGCCATTTTCCCCCATAGGGGCACCAGAAATAAAACTGCTGGCCTCTGGAGGGAAAAACTGGGAGCTTGGTCCACGCAAAGACCAAGGGCAGCCGATGAAGAGGAGAGAGGCCCCAGGAAAGTCAGAAAAGTGCAGTAGCTTCGAAACACTGCTGAGGAGGCCAGGACCCCAAGTTGGGGGTAAACTGGGACTAGAGCCAGCAGAAGGACCTTCTCTTTTCCCGTCCCCTCCCTCTCTCTCCCTCCCCCATCCTGCACTGTGACCTTCCCCGGCCACTCTGTTTACACTACACCCCCAGCCCTCTCTTTCCCACTTCCCGCTTTTATTTTTCTCCCTGGCACTTATTACCCTGTAACCGCTCTATCTACACTTTCCTTACCCACGGTGCCAGCCTTTGTTCCCTGCTGCCTCCCTGCACGCAAGCCCCCCAAGGACAGACTCTCCATCTTCCCTCGTTGGTGGGTCCCAGCCCCTAGAGCAGCGCTGGCACACAGCAGGTGCTCCAAGGATGTCATTCACTCCTTCCTTCATCCTTTCAAACACCCCCTGAGGGGCTTCTCTGGGCCCACCCTGTGCCCTGGGCAGGGGAGAGTTACAAATAGTATATCACTTCCCTCTGAAGGAGCTCATGGCCCTGTGGGAATGGATGGCGCCAGGCCTGTGTGCCCCCACCCCCTTTGCCCCAAATTCTCCACCCCTTGCCTCCCCGCCCTCCACTCACTCCTCTTGCCGTGTGTTTACATGTCTTTCTCTGCAATGGTGACTACAGGTACCCGAAATCAATCCCCCTTCTGTCTCTGCCCGGAGGGGATGAGCAGTGTGATGTAATGAGACCAGATAGCTCAGGGTCTGAATGTGGAGCATGTTCCCTAGGTTCTCTGGGAACTCAGTTTCCTCATCTCTAGGATGGGGCTTCAATAGCCACCCTGCAAGGGTTCCATTGAGAAGAGAATATGTCTGAATGGTTTGGCCACAGCTGGCACATAATAAATGGCCTTCTTGATGGAATTGCTCCCGCAGTGTCTGGCTTTGTCTTGAAGGAAGCTGCTTCTTGTGCCAAAGGAGTGGGGGCACCCCAGTGCCCCATTCTGGTGCAGTGGGACCACACTTGAGTTCCCAACACCCTGATCCAGGGCTCAGCCTCAGGTGTTCTACATAGCATATGTGGCTTTGCAAATCTGGGATTCAAACTGGCAATGATTTTTAAAAACCTATTAAAGAATTCATGCATGAGGGTGCACAGGTGCCACTAGCACACCTGGCTCATAAAGTGCATGCTTTGGGGACATCTAGCAGTATGTATCAAAACAGTTCAGCCTCTAGGAATTCATGAAAACCTGTGCAAAGACGTATGTAGCTGGATGTTCATGGCAGTTATTTATAACACTAAACAAATAAAAATAACCTCCTTGTCTAACACAAGGAGATCAGCTAGATAAAGCATGGCATATCCTGCCATTAGAATGATGTAGAAGATGAAGAATATGGGAAGATGGTTACAAAATATTAAGTGAATAAAGCAGTATAAATCAACATTACAGTATGAATCTTTCTTACAGGAGTGTTGCCTCTAAATAGTGCGATTACAGGTGGTTTTTAGTTTCTCTTTGTGCTTTTCTATATTTTCCAAAATCTCTACAATACACCTGTATTAAAATTTTTAAAAGAAAAATTAGAAAATCAAAGTAATTTTGACAAAATATGGACAAAGCATCGACTTAACTTAAATTCTATAGTTAGCTCATGTCAAGATCTCACACACTAACCATTGTGTAATTACTGATCATAGCTCAATGAACTTGTGAAAAACTCTTAAAATGTTCCTATGATCTTTTAACATGCATATTTTTTTTTCAATCTCTTTTTCTTTGGGAATAATTTTGGATTTACATAAAAGTCGCAAACATAGTACAGAGAGTCCTTGTATACCCTGCACCCATTTTTTCCTCTAAACATCTTACATAAGCTGGGGGCATCTGTCACAACCCAGAAGCTAGCATGGCACAGCCCTGTCAACCAAACTGCAGGCTTGGTGTGGATTTCGCCGGTTTTCCCACTGTCACCCTCTTTCTGGTCCAGCCAGTATCCGGGGTCCACGTCGCGCTGGGTTGTCCGGTCTCGCCAGGTTTCCCTGGTCTAGTTGTTAGGCGTCCCTGGATCCTGTATGGATATATCCTGTATGGATTTTCATGTATCCTGTATGGATTTTGTAATAAAAAAAAGAAGGGGATGCTGGTGATGCTGGTAACGGTGAAGTCGTTGATGACTTATGTTTGGGAAGTCCCTTCTTTTCATCGCGGTGGGAGGCAAATGATCCGCCGTGTTCTCCCTGTTCGCGGGAACCGAGGGGAGCTGATGGGGCGCGCGGAGTCCCTGCGCGCCGCGCCCTCGGCGTCTGCTCGGGGCGCCGTCCCTCCCGACGCGGGGCGCTCCGGGGGCCTGGGGCGGGGCGCGAGCCCCGGGCCCGCGGTCCCCTGGCCGGCTGGGCGGGCGCGCGGGCGGCACCCCTGTTCCGCCGCCGACCGCGGCCGCCCCGCCCCTGCCCACGTCTTATAAGCCTGTCCCGCCTCGAGCGCCCGGACTGCCCGCTGCCCGCCCGGCCCGGCCCGGCGCCCGCCGCAGCATGGCCTGGAACACCAACCTCCGCTGGCGGCTGCCGGCCACCTGCCTGCTCCTGGAGGTGGCCATGGTGGTCCTCTTCGGCGTGTTCGTGCGCTACCAGCCCGACGCCGACGCCCGCTGGACGGAGGACAAGCTGTCCAGGAACGTCACCAGCGACCTCGACAACGAATTCTACTATCGCTACCCGAGTAAGTCCGGGGAGGTACAGGGGAGCCGGTGCCCGGCTGGCCGAGGGCCCTGCCTGGCCCCGCGCCTCCGCCCAACTACAGGCGGGCAGGGAGGCATCAGGAGGAGATGCCCCACGCGCCCTGACCCGCCCCTTGGGCTCCCCACCGCGAGCGCTCTCACCTGGGGCGCTGGCCAGTCTGCAGATCCCGCCTGAGAAATGGGCAGGTGTGCACAAACTCCTTTTCCCTGCGAAAAAGCAATTGGGAAAACTCACCAGGGTGAGCGCAGTCCAGGTGCCATCAGAGGCCTCCCAGCTCCCCGTTGGAGAGCCCTACCTAATGTCCTCCGAAGATCCGAGTCCCATCCCAGTCACCACCCAGTGGGGGACCCTGGCTCCACTGTGCCCGGACTCTCCAAGTAAGGGGACCAGTCTGACGCCCAGGGCTGCAGGGATGGCTTGCTGGTCTGCTAGGAGATGGAAAAAGAGCCCCCCCGAATTCTCTGGGATCTGTGGTACTGTGGTTAAGAGCATGACCTCGGAACCACTAGACCCAAATGGGGATAATAATAATAGCACCTCCCTTACAGGGGTGAGGTGAGGTGAGGCTGGCTGAGACTGTGCAGGTAAAGCTCTGGCACAGCGCTGGGCACGGAATCGTCACGTCATCTACAGAGAACGATTACTAAAGGAGAATAAACACAGATGCCCTAGGACTCCAGAGTTGTAAGAACTGGCCCAAGGTCACTCAGTTCAGCCCACCCTCCAGACCCCCAGCCCAGGACTCTTTCAGGTTATCCATCTACCAGCAGTCAGACAATCTTCCTAACTGTTGGTGCCCACATAGTCATGGGCTGTTTTGGAAGAGGCTCTAAAGCTCATCTCAGCAGCCACTGGTGCTTCCTCCATAGCTTGTCCACCTCAGTAATGGGATTCTCTACCTCCAAAAATAACATTTGACTTAGATCCAAATAAATAACTGCAGACATTCAGGATAGCAGCCTCCATGAAAAAAAGTCAGGGGGTTGCAGTCTGGGTGGGAACCAGCCATGTTAAGAGGCTACCAAAAAGCTAGGGCTATCCAGGGCCACATTAGTAGAAATATGGTGCCTAGAAAAAGGGAGGTGATGGAAGAGAGGTGTGCCCTGTGCTGGTAGAGACCGCAGCCTCTACTGGGCTCCACTCAGGGCTCCATTACTTTAAGTCATGTTGACAGCTGTGGCTTGGAATTTAGGCCCCAAAGTCACCCTTCACATTGCCCATCTTTACCCTCTGGGGTGGGGGACTGACCCAGCAAACGGTGAGGTAGACAAGCTTGAGACCCTCCTTTGCTGTTCTTCACTCTGGCTCTTGCTTATCTCTCACCATAAAGCCGGCCCTCAGTACAGCATGAAGGGCGAGGACTCCCTTGGGCTTTAATAGGTCCTTGATGAGCCGGGGCAATGGAAGGTCTCAAGACCCTACAGTAAGGGGTGCAGATCTCACCAGCGAGGGGTGCAGTCCTCACATCTCCCCAGCTCCTATCCCTATTCCCTCTATATCCACCCACCCACCTTTCAGGCTTTATCTTCATTGATTCCCTTAACAACCACTTCTCTACAGGGTGACCATATAATTTATCAACTGAATGACAATTTTGAGGGTAAATGGGTGGGAGAGCGGTGCTAGCAGTAATATGCCAGGACACAGGCATGAACCGTAACTGTCCCAGCAAACCAGGGCTTACAGCCCCTCTGGACAAATAAGTTGAATATCCTGGTCTCCGGCCCCAGGGGGCTCAGACTCATGGAAAGCAGAGAGGTTCACCCTGACACCCCAGGCCTGAGTGGGGTCAAGTCTGGGCAGCAGAGATCTGTGACAGCCTCCTGGGAACAAGTGGGATGGTGAGGAAGGGAGAGGCCAGGCAGAAAGGGACCCAAGGAAAGAGTGTACTGGGAGGCGGGGTGAGTGGCGCACTGTGGACCAAGAGTGGGGTAGGAGGATTCTAAGGGGGGTGAGACATCCCCAGCCACCCAGGGGGGCCTTGGGTCTTTCCTGCCATTGCCCATCTGAGTGTTGGGGAGCAGGAAGTGACAGAGCAGAAGCGTGTGAGCAGAGAACCTTAGCTTCAGGACCCCTGGCAAGGGCGGGACACAGTGGCAGTGGCTCAAGCCAAATGGGCCTTCTTTCCCTTGGTCATCACCGCTGCCCCGGGAGGAAGGCACTGCGATGGCTCCTATTCTACAGGCAGGGACTCTAAGGCCGGAGAGGGGAGGCTGCCAAGGTCACTCGGCCAGGAAGCCGGAGAGCCAGGGTCTGAGCCGGCGCTCTGGGGCCACTCTGCCCCTTTGGCCTCACCTTTCCCCTCCTGCCCTGCCCTACCCTCTTCAGGTCCACTGGGCCCAGGTGGCTGTGGCTAGGGGCAAGAGGGCACGTGTCCTTCTGGCCCAGGCGGGCACCAGGCCTGGGGTCCTGGGCAGCAGGGGTGTGGGGTCTGGGCCCGCCTTTGCAGTACCTTCTGGCTTGCTGGCTCCGGGCCATCAGCACCTCTGCGGGCCTCATCCCCGCCCAGGGGATTAGTGGGGCCTGCTGGGCATCTCTGGTTTCCAGAGGAGTCCAGCTCCAGCTGGCTCAGGCCAGAGCACAGGAGGGCTGAAGGATAGCCCCCCAGGCATGGGCCTCTGGCAGGCAGCAGGCATAGAGCCAGCTTCCTCGTGGACGGGTTCTCCAGGGCCTGAGTGCCCACAGACAGTGTCTGGGAGAGGTTCCCTGGGGAGGAGCCATCAGAGCCTGTGCTCCTGAGGCTCCTGGAAAGTCAGGACACATTTCCAGGGGGTGACCCAGAGAAGACGGGGCCAGACTTCCAGACGCCCAAAGGCCTGTTTACTGAAGCCAGGGCGGCCAGGCTCGCCCGCGCGCCCGGGGACCTCCATCTCAGATTTGGCTCCGTTTCATAAAGGACATGCTTTCCCACCAGCAGAGGGCAGTGTCACTTTGGAATTAACCAGATCTGGGTCCATCACTGGATGGAGTGAGCCAGCTCCCTAAGCACCCGAGCCCCCGTGTGCTTATCTGTAAAGTGGGGACGATGTCTGACGTACAGGCTCTCCAGGAAGACTGAAGACGGCAGGTGTGCGGGAGGGCACACCTCACGGCCTGGCCTGGGAGCTTCCTCAGAGGGGAGTGAGTGCTCGGCCACAGACGGTGTTTCAGCGGAGGCTCCGCATCCGTTTAGTGGTGTGGCCAAGGAACGTCCCCCTGAATATTTAGTTTTACTTGTTATAGCACTTAAGTTCCCTTCTGCTCTTCTCCCTTTCAAGGCTCGCTCTTTGCACGCCCTGCTGGGCAGGGTACTACCTATTTCCATCCTTGTGGTTCAGAAATGGAGGTGAGATTCGCCCACGCCCGCAGCCAGTCAGTGGCCCCAGCGCACCTGCTGTCCAGGGTCTCTGCACTCCCGGGTCTGGCTCTCACCCCCTGACCATCTGCCCAGGAGACTGTGCAGTGATGGGATCATCGGCTCTGAGGTGTGGGAGAGGCAGCACAGAGCCTTGGGGAATTCAGGGACTGGCCAGCAGGCCTCAAAGAGAACAGTGTCAGCTGAGGCGGCCAAAGGAGAAAAGGAAGGGGGTCGTACCCAGGCCACTGCAGGGCACCACGCTGTGTCATGGAACAGAGGGGAGGGGGCTGCCATGGCCCACGGGCACGGGAAAGCTTGGCCTCCGATTTCGGAAATTTTGGAGATCCAGCAGGCTTGGTTAGGGACCCCTCCTAGGAGGAAAATGAGCTGGGGAGGGAATGAAGGGGAGAGTGAGAACAGATGCGTACTGGCTCCCCCTTGTGGCAGCTCTCGGGGCTGAGAGGAAGCATGCCAGCTGCACCCCATCAGGGACCTCCCAGTTGAGACATCAGGTCTTGGGCTGGGCTGCTTGAGTCACCCCAGGCTGGGGAAAAAAGGGGGAGGAAGGTGGTGTCTCACCAACTTCCACTGGCCCTCAGCAAATTGGCAACCCCATGGAAAGCAGCTGATGTCCTGAAAGAGAGGGAAGTAGTAGTTAATGGGATTGAGCAATTGCTAAAGAGCCAGGCCTATGCCCAGGGCTGCGGCTGCATCACCTCATTAAATCTGCACCGCAAACCTCGGGGTGGGCACCACCTGAGCATTGTTCCTGTACCCCAATTCACAGAAAAAGATACTGCAGATCAGAGACATTATGTCCTTGCTGAAGGTCACACAGTTTGGACCTTTAAACCATTACTATTAAAGGTATTTTAAGTAGCCCCAAACATCATGAAACATAAGTTAATAAACTGGTACGTTTTGGTTCTAAACAAGGACCAGCTGGGAGATAAAGAGCAAGAGACCAAGGGAATGAATCGGGGAGGTGCCCAAGGGGAGGGAAACCAACGTCTGTGTGCCTGAGGGCCAGGAGAGGAAAGAGACGCCCCAGAGAGGGACAAGGGAGAGGTCAGGACCCCCGGAGTCTCTCAGGACAGAGAACTGGTGACCTCTGCTCCTGCTCATGGGCCCAGGAAAAGTGCAGGGAGCTCTGAGCTGCAGATGCCCCCAAAGTTGGGGCCCCCAGTCTTTTTGGTTTGCCCCTGCCGACTTTTTGGTTTGTCCTCTATGCCACCAAACAGCTGACACCCCTCTCTTTGAAAGGCCCCCCCTTCTGCAATGCTGCCTTTTCCCAGGGACGCTCCCACCTGCCTGTCAGTACCATTCTTGTCTGGTCCACTAGCTTCAAGGCAGGCCAGTTGTCTGCTACTGTCTCCCCCTCATACACCCCACATTTCCACTCACAGCAGTCCTGCACCATCTCAGAGCCCGGCTCCAATCCTCCCAAGCTGCCCTGCCCAACCTTCACCAGCACCCCACCCCATGATCACCTCTACCTCCCACAGCCAGCACCAGACCCAGCACCCCTCCCACCCCGGAAGCCTCTTCCCACTTCCTTGTGTTTAGCAACAGCCCTGCCCTCCTGCCAAATCCCCTGCCTGCTTTTGGAATTGTAGTCAGAATGTGTCACCTCCCTCTTTCACACCTCTCCTCCAGTCTGTCACCCCTCAGTTCTCCCAAGAATAACATGTATGGTGCTCTACATACATTAGCTCAGTTTCCCCCACAACTGCTGAGAATGTGATAAACCATGAAACACGATAATGCATGAAATCGCCTGTGCACATCGTGAAACCTAAGCAGAGCTGCTGTTTGTGTAAATTTGCACAAGTCTTCTCCAGGCAGAAACTCTGAGCTCAGAGCACCATCCTAGGGTGAGATCCACAGCCATCTCGCATTGGCTGGCATTGGCTGGTGTGCCCCCACCCCTCCCCTGCAGTGTCAGGGCTCCTCCCAGGCTCCTCCAGGTTGCTGCTGGCCAAGGGGCCTATGGCTGTGGCCTGGGCCTCAGGAAGCTTCAAGGGGGTGCAGAGCCTTGGCCAGGCTGCAGGGGGTGCCAGGGCCTATCCGTCCTGTGGGTAGGAGGTGTTGGACTAGAGAGGGGCTGTAGCCTCACCTGACCACGGCATCTCACCTGGGGCTACCTGGGTGCTGCTGAGCTGAGAGCAACAGGCATCCATCCGTTCATGGACATTGACTGAGGGTCTACCTAGGCATGCTTGTAGGTGCCGGGCAACACCAGCATGAGCAGACAGGCACGGCCCTGCCTTCTCGGGTTTTATACAGTCTCGTGGGCTGGACAAGCAAGCCAAACTGCAAGCTGTAGTAAGAACTAGAAAAGAAAGAAGAAGGTGCTGTGAGGGAGGGAACTGACCTTACCTGGGCAGTCAGGAGGGTGTCTGTGATGAGGTGACACTTGGCTGAGATCTGCAGGAAGGGAAGTTGGCCATCCCACAGGAACAGCATCCTAGGCGGAAGGAAGGCCACAGGCAAAGATCCTGGCAAGGGACCAAGAAACACAGGGAGGCTGGTGCAGCCGGGGCACAGAAAAGTCAGAGTTGGGGAGGCAGGCGGGCAGGGCAGGCCCTGAAGACCCCCTCAACTCCCTGCTTTATTTTTAACTTTTTAACTGGAAATAATTTACACCAATATAATTCCTAAAAATAGAGGTTTTCTCTTCCATAGCCACAGTACTCAATTTCATACATTTACATTGTACAATTCTTTAACATACGACTTCTAATGTTGCTAATTGACCTAAGAATTACCTTTATCTCTCTCATTCTACCCAACAAACCCAGAATCCAGTCTAGAGTTAGGTTTCGAATTTACCTAGCGTATCTCCTTAGCCTCTTTTAACCTGCAACATTTTCTACAGCCTTGTCTTTTATGACATTGATAGCTTTCAATAATACAGCCTCACTCCTTTCTAATAGATTGTTAAGTCATTTTGTGCTTGTTTCCTCATGATTAGATTGGGACTACGCATTCTCGGCTGGAATACCATAAAAATGGTATGTCCTTTTCAGAGTAGTACATCTGAAGGCCCATGGTGTCCATCTGTCCCTCACTGGTGATGTTAATTCGGGTCATGAGTCAGGACATGCAATTCCTCCAATGTATGCTTACTGGGTGTTTTTTTTTCCCCTCCCTTACAACTCAGTAAGCAGTCAATAGGGAGACTCCTTAAGATAATGCAAATACACTGCTTTGCATAAAAACTTCTTGGATTTTCCACTGATGGAATCTTTACTGTGAGAATTATGTTTTTTTTCCAACTTCAGCACTCATCTACATTTAAGCCGTCCCTTGGCATTCTGCTGTAGGCAGGAGCTCTCCTGCCTGTCTCATTTATTTACTTACCTAGCGTGAGTCCCTATTTTTTACATGGTGTTAATGCTTAGAATACATGATGATCTTGGAGCTCCATTGTCCCAGATTTGGCCAGTGGGAGCCCTTAGATCTGGCCTCCTTAGAGGTGTCCTGCGACACCTGTAGTTCATTTTAGTGTCTTATAATTTGTAACTGCCTCTGCCTCTCAGAACTCTTTGCCTTCTGTTATTTCCTGGCACCCTAGAACCATGTAATGTTAGCACTGGGGGGACAGGTAAGATCACTCTCATCTATCCCTTTAATTTTACTGCTGAGAAAGCTGAGGCGCTGAGACCTAGTGACTCCAGTCATTAGGTGACTCCAGCCGTCTCCCCAGCATGTGGAGGGACTGGGGTCCAAATTCAGGTCTCAGTGATGCTGGGAAGTGTACGTGCTGGGGTGTGGGGATGGGGGGTGCAGGTGGAGATGCTCCTCAGGGGATCAAGTGATGTGCTTGGCCAGTCAAGGGGCTCCGAGGCCAGATGAGACCAACTTCTCCCCAGTAACGGAGTGGAGTTGAGGGCACAAGGCCACAGAAGGCCTGGGTTCTAGACCCTGTGTGTGATCCACACTCTGGCCCCAATTTCTGATGCTCAGACGCCACACCCACCCAGGGATGAGGGTGGAGACGGAGAGCGCCAACGCCAGAAGGGGTGCTCCCGCCTTAAAGTGCCGGCTCACCTCCGTCCCACCAGCCTAGCGCCCCTCCTCCCGCCCCAGCGGCCTTAGGACAAGGCGGGGTAGTGGCCGTTCTACCTGCAGCGGAGCCATTCCCGACTGCGCCTGGCCCCGGGACCCGCAGGCGGAGACGCGAGGGCGGGCCTTGGGGGCTGCCCCAGCCGGGCCGGTGGCAGGGAGGGCAGGCGCGGCTCCGGGCCCTGCTGGCCTACAGCCAGGACCGTGGCGGGCCCTCGGAAGGCCGCCCAGCCACCTGCTGCGCTCTGCCTCAGGTTTCCAGGACGTGCACGTGATGATCTTCGTGGGCTTCGGCTTCCTCATGACCTTCCTGCAGCGCTACGGGTACAGCTCCGTGGGCTTCAACTTCCTGCTGGCGGCCTTCGGCATCCAGTGGGCGCTGCTCATGCAGGGTTGGTTCCACTCCTTCCATCAAGGCTACATTCTAATCGGCGTGGAGAAGTGAGCTGGGCGCACTGGGCGGGGCGACGGGGCGGGGGCGGGGCCGGCGGGAGGAGGGCGGGGCCGGCGGGAGGGGGCGAGTGTGAAAACGAGCCCTCGTTAGCCTGCTGGGAAAGCAAATCCGCAGAAAGGGTTTACAGGCAAACTGGTAAAAAAAAACTACGGTTCAAATACAAATCCCTTCTGTCACATACAGGGCACCAACCAGGTATCACCAGCCTAGCGCCCCTCCTCCCGCCCCAGCGAAATTTAAAACATATGCCAAATATTTGCAAAATATTGATTTATTCACGCCATATTAATAAAACTAATTCACTTACTGAGTGCATGAACTAACAGAATCAGGAAAGGTAGCTGACTAGATAGAAAATACACTGGAACCAATAAATCAGTCTTTTTGTATATAAAACCCTTGACATGCATACATATCACTCTGCAGTTCAAAATGCACAAGAAATTCCCATTCCCAAAGCCACAGACCCAAACTATGAAGAACCTATAAAATATTTATTTAATTGGCCACTGCAGCAACATAGCTATGGGTAAATGAAGAAATAAGAGTACACAACTTTTTAAAATCTTCAAAGTGAATTATTATCACTTTGTGAGTTAAATTTTTGGTGAGCCAGTTATTCAGCAAGTTAGTCAACTTGGGAACTGATGCTCAGCAACTGAGCTGCAGGCGATTTCTGGGGCCCGGGGCTGAGATGAGCACGTCATCCCCAGACCTGAGCTCGCGGCGCCTTCTCCTGGCTTCTGTCCTCCCCATGCGGCAGAGCCCTCCAGGTCCCGCCTGCGACTCTAGGGTGGTGCCCCTCTGCAGAACCTACCCGAGCTTCACTGAGCTCTCCTGAGATGTGACGTCCAGCTCTCCATTTCCCGGGAGCTGTGGGCCTTTCTGCTCCCCTCTCATTCCTTCCTAATGGTTGCCTCTGTCAGATGGGCCTCTGGCTGCAGTTATGGGAACTCGGGCAAATAGCTTGGCCTCTCCAAGCCTCCGTCCTTTTCCCATCTATGTGATGTGGCTAATACGACATGTCCCCTAGGGTTCAGCTGTGGCACAGGAGGGCAGGTGCAGTGCTGAGCAGGTACTTACTTCAGTGCCTGGCACTTAGTAACTGCCATCATTCTTTCAGCCCACCACTAGGCCCTGGGGGGCAGCGAGCAAGGCTCATGGTGAGCAGACATTCCAGCGATCGCCTTCTGCCTTGGGAGGGACCCTGATGGAACAGGGCCCTGCCCCCATTCTGCCCTATAATCAGCTGGCTTCCTCTCACCTCCTGATAAACACCCGCATGTACTCCCTCCTGAGCAGGGGCGGGGAACCTCCTCCATCTGTGACTGGCTTGAGGAAGTGGCCCCTATTGTCCCCACACCCACCCCAAATCACAATTCTGATGACTCGGTGTGGGAAAGCTACACTGAGGGCCTGCCTGGGAATCCGGGGCAGTTCTGCTGCTGGCAGGGCATAAGGAGGCCTGGGTTAGGCAGCAGGCATGTGGACGGAACCGGGCCTACCGTGGCCACATGCCGTCCACCTGTCTGTCTGCCTTTCCACCAGCCCTCTGCTGGGCTTTCAGGGCCCAGACTTAAGGAGGGCCTGTGTGCTCCTCTGCCTCCAGTCTCTCTGTTAGGCTTTCTGCCCTCTCCCTCCCCCAAGCCCCCAGCCCTCTACCTCCTGCAGGAAAGCCTCTCTGTCTTCCTGGACATAGATCCTTTCTCCCAGATAAGGTGAGCAGGTCACAATAGTTCAAACCCAAGCAAGGCCTGGCAGCCAGCAGGAGAAAAGTATGTAGACCAAGAGATAAGGGTCTAGAGAAAGAGGCCACATCTGGTTGGAGGAATCGGGAAGACTTCCTGAAAGAGGAGGCAACAAGAAAGGCAGATAGGAAGGGCAGGTAGAAGATGGGGCGCAGGGCAAGGCTCCAAATACGGGGCATGTTCAACAACAGCAGCCAGACCACCTGGGTGCCTTGAGCACAAGCAGCTTACAAGGTTGGGGGCCTGAGATGGGAGCTGCAGAGGAAGGGTGTGGCATCTAGCATGTGCCCCTGGTGTGCCAGACACTTGGCGTGTTCTTTTACTTCTTGGAGTAGCTCTAAGATGTTATGTGCCCATTGCCACAGATGACGAAACTGCAGCTTGGAAAGATTAAGCCACAAGCCCAAATCCACAGACAACCAGTCCCGATTCGAACCCAGGGCTTGGAGTGCCGCTTCTTGCTGTTGCCTCAGCTCCTCCCCGACCCCTTTCCACAGCCTCATCAATGCGGACTTCTGCGTGGGCTCTGTCTGTGTGGCCTTTGGGGCAATTCTGGGCAAAGTCAGCCCTGTCCAGCTGCTCATCATGACTCTCTTCCAAGTGACCCTCTTCTCAGTGAATGAGTTCATTCTCCTCAGCCTGCTGGAGGTGAGCAGGGCTCCAAATGGGGATGAGGGAAGGGGACACTTGGGGAGACCACAGGGGGACAGAGAAAGAGAGGCCTAGGGTGACCTGCCAGCTGGATTCAGGTCAACCTGGCACATCACTTAACCTTCTGAATCTCAGTTACCTTGTATCTAAAGTGGGAGCAATGACATTCATTGGCCAGGAATGATAGTCTACCTAGCAAAGCAGCCCAGTACCTGGACAGAGCATATGTTAGTTTTCTCCTTCCTTTCTCTTTCCTGCCCATCAAATGGAAAAAGTGGAATGTCACTGCACATACTCTTGCACACACACCACATTCCTAGATTTCCCTAGCAAGAAAAGGACCCAGTGTATTCAGTGGGCACATCTATAAGGAAGGACCCAAAGGGAGTGGACAAAGTGGACATGTGCAGCTGCACAGGTTGTACACTGTACCACTCATAAGTGCCATTCACAAGGACTATGGCAGAAATAATGCCCCCAGGATTGACCAATTCAATGACTCAGATAAGGGACACCTTAGGCCTCTGACTCAAGCTCAGACACTTCTTTGGTGCCTTGGCAGGGGTGAGGTTCATTCAGGGACCCTACCCATTACTTAGCTCCCAACTCTTCTACATTTGGACACTGCTGGGAATCTCCTACCACAATTGCTTTTAAAGGCCACCCTACATCTAATCACTCATTTTGTCATTTTTTTCAGTGGCCAAACTAGTCGAAGCCACTATATCTCTTCCTCCTGACTCATCCCCCTACCTTCATCCTTGCCCCACTCACCACCTCAGGCCAGTCTTCACCAGCATATAAGACCGTTTCCCTTATGAAACCCTCAAGGAGTTCTTAAATTTCACTTCAAATAAAATCCAGTCCTATAAGTCCTCACATGTTCTGGCCTCAGCAGCCTTTTTCTCCACACTTACCATCTACTCTCTCCCCATCTCTCTGTGCTTTGGCCATACCCTGCCTTCTGCTCAAACACACCAAGCTTGGGCTTACCTCAGGGCCTTTGCACTTGCTGTTCCTTTTACCTGGATTGCTTGTCCCTCAGTCCTTTACATTATTGAAGTCTCAGCTGGAATATCACCTCTTCACAGAGGCCCTCCCAGATTCTCCTACCCAGTATTGCTTTCTCCCTATCCCCTCCCCTCCCAGTGTGACAGTCACAGCTCTCACATCACCTTGGTTTGTTTTCTTCTTCATAGCAGGAAACCTTCTTCAAGGCAGGAAACCTTATCTGTCTGGACCAACTCTATGCCCAGCACCTAGCCCAATGCCTAATAAGTGCTCAACAGATGTTTGCCAAGTGAATGGATTTCAAAGTCTGACGCATGTCAGGAAATGCTCCAGGCACTGGGGTACAGAGGGGGCAGGACTCTGGCTTAGACTGCTCACAACCCAGTGAGGGAGCCAGGAAGTCAATAGATGGTGATCATGCTGTGTAATAAGGAGTGAGTTCAAGGGCCCGGTGGCCAGCAGGCAGGTTAGGGGGGCTTCCTGGAAGAAGAGACATCAAAGTTAGAAGTCAAGGAGATCACCACCAGGCAAAGCAGTGAGGCTGAGGGAACAGCCAGAGCAAAGGCCTGGAGGGAGGCCCCTGGGGACAGGCCTCCAGTGGTTCCACCTGGCTGGAGAGGTGGTGGGTTTTGGAGAGGCTATGGGGGGCAGGGGAGGGGTGGCTCACGGATCATCAAGATTCCTGGAGAGGGTGTTGAAGTTCCTGATGAGCTGGCCCCTCTTCTTCATTCTCCTCCCCACATTCCACTTTAGCATGAGGGTAGTGGGGGCTATGGGAGGTTTTAGGCAGGGGTGTGGCATGGTCAGACACATGTAATGGAAATGTCACTTAGGCTGTGGTGAGGGGAAGAACTGGAGGCAGGAAGCCCAGTAGAGAGTCTGTCCTGGTCGCCCTGGTGAGACGTAAGGGGCTGGACCTGGGCCAGTGCACTGGGAGGACAGTGGGTGCTTGAGGAAAAATAAGAAGGTGAATAAGCAGGCTTTGGAGATTGGCTGGGGTGGGAATGTGGGAAAGAAAGAAGTGAGGCTAGGTGACGGGGTAGACAGAGGGGCCAGTGGATGAAACCAGACATAGGCTGAGGAAGTAGGATCTTGGGTGTTAGTTAAGAGTTCCTTGGACCACCCCCCCCCAACTCTCCCTGATCTAACGCAGAAATTCTTCTAATGCGTGGCAGTCTTCTGTCCTCTCTTTGGGCCAAGTTCAGATACAATAATCACTGTTGAACGTGTAAGCAGCTCTTGCCCCTGGCTGGACCCTGCACCTGCTCTCAATGCTTCCTCTGGGTGATCTCATTTAACCCTCAGACCTGAGAATAGGCCCGATTATCACCTCCGTTCTATAGATAAGAAGGCTGGGACACAGAGGTTAAGGGACTCACCCAAGATCATACAGCTAGCAGAGGCACCCACCAGCCTGGGAGTCAGGAAACCCAGCTCTGGCAGCAACTCCACAACTAGCTCTGTGACCTTGGACACCACACTCCACTGTCTGGTGGGGGTTCCCCATCTACACTGAGGGGGGGCGTCTGTGATTCTGACTGCAATTTCCTCTGGGGTTGGTCCAGAGTGGGGAGGAAGAGGGGGCTGAAAAGAGGGGAGGGGGCAGGGGAAGAGGTTTAAACCCATCAAGCACCTGTTGGGTGCCAGGCATGGTCAGGGACTTGACACAAGTTATCCAGTTTAATTCTCAGGACAGCCCTGTCACTACGATCTCCCCCACATCATGAATGAGGAACTTGAGATCTGAAGAAGTCCAGAGGCATGGGGTGGGGTGGGCCAGGGGGCTCAGGGTGGGTGGCGGGCCAGCTCCGCCTGCTCTGACCTTGGGGCACAAGGGAGATGAGGGTTGGGGGTGGGACGGACAGGGAGGTTAGCTGGGAGGTTAAAGGGCAAGGGGTGTGACAGGTTGCAGGGGAGATGTGTAATGGCAGGCTGGATGGGGTAGAATTGGTCCAGGCACGGTTTTATAAAAGGAAATGTGGAGAGGGGAGACCAGAGGGCAGGAAGGAGTTCCCAGAAATTAAGATAAGGTGGAAGCTAGTGGGTGACCAACCCGGTGCATGGTCACCCGGGTTCCAGCCACTCTTCACCTCTTCCAGCTGTGTGACTGAGCAAGTCCCTCGCGAAGCCTGGGCTTTCCCATCTGGGCACAATCTCATCTGTTGAGTGAGGATGCTCTGGCATTTTGCCGACAGGCTTACAGCCTGGATTCAGGGATCCCTATTTTCCCACCTACCCAGTTGATTGGTCTCCATTCTGCAGCTCAGAGTCAGAGACAGCTGGGTCCAGTGTGTGTGTGTGTGTGTGTGTGTGTGTGTGTGTGTGCGTGCGCGTGCACGCGCGGTGGGGGTAATGCTATGAGGAGGGAGGGAGAGAAGGCGTCAACCTGACAAGCCTCCTGTACCCCAGGTGAAGGATGCAGGTGGCTCTATGACCATCCACACATTCGGCGCCTACTTTGGGCTCACAGTGACCTGGATCCTCTACCGACCCAACCTCTATCAGAGCAAGGAGAGGGAGAGCTCTGTGTACTACTCGGACCTGTTTGCCATGATTGGTGAGAGCTGCCCTCTGCCCGAGGGCCGCCCTGGTGGGGGAGGTCGCCGTGAGTGCAGGCCACAGCGACCCCCATGTGGTCTGCGGGGGCTACCAGTTCCCTGTGGGGAAAGGGCAGAGGGTGGCTGCCTGCAGACAATTCCAGAATCCCAGATGCTTGGCCCCTTCCCCCCTGGAGCTAGAAGAAGTCGTCATTCCTGTGTTTTCTGTAGGATGCCCCCGGGGCAGACCCAGTGGTAACCAGGAAGCAGTGACCCCACCCCTGGGCTAGGCAAGGTGCACCTCCACCTGCTGTGCCCCTTTACCCAGAGCGGGCATGTCCACCACCCACTCTGGTCTTTTAAAGCCCAGCCCTGCCTTCAAGGAGCTCTAACAGGGTAGTGAAGAGGTGGCAGTGTCACCGGGTCATCTCCCTGCAGTGGAGGTGGGACAAGGTGGGAGGCCTGTAGCCCAGCTATGGACGGGGTCAGGGTGGACTTCCTGGAGTGGAATGGGAGCTGAGTGGGAGTTAGCTGGTCAGTGAGGCGGGAAGGGCCTTCTGGGAGGAGCCCCAGCATCAGTGAAGCTGCAGGGGCGGAACACAGCCGTGCCTGTGAGCCATTTGGCATCTCAGGAGCTGAAGGGCAGGAGGTCGGTCTGAGCTCTGTTGGGCCCACCTAATGCTGCCTCTCCTGGGCCCACTGGGCCTCTCTGGTCCGGCCAGGCTCCCTCTTCCTGTGGATGTACTGGCCCAGCTTCAACTCAGCTGTGTCCAACCACGGAGATGCCCAGCACCGAGCTGCCATCAACACCTACTGCTCCTTGGCAGCCTGCGTGCTCACCTCGGTGGCCCTGTCCAGTGCCCTGCACAAGAAGGGCAAGCTGGATATGGTGAGCGGTGGGGAGCCCTTGGGGAGGTGTGGGCACCGATCGGCATGTCCTGCTAACAGGGCTGTCACACCCATCTTGCTGATGGAGAAACTGAGGCTCGGGGAGAAGTGATTTGTCCCCATTACATAGCTGTTTTTGAGCACAGCCCAGACCAGATTCCTGGAGGTTCTGTTGCACTGATGAGCTGGCCCCTCTTCTCCATTCTCCTCCCCACAGCTTGGGGTGTGGACAGCTGCTCTGGGCTGCGCCCCACATCAGACTTGCCCAGCAAGGCTACTGGGGGCACCTTCTCTCTGCCGGGCTTCTGATCCTCCAGACACTGGCCCTCTGTTTTCCTAAAGCTCCCTCAGCTGCCCCACCCCCCCACACTCAGAGGGGGAGCCCCTCTGATGCTTTATACACTCTGCTGGGGAGCTTTGTGGGGATATGGTGTTGCACAGTGTCCACGCTGGCTGAGACTAGTGGAAGGGTCCAAGCCCCAAGGGTGTTAGTAGATTTTTCTCTGGAAGGAAGTCCACCTCTCGGTCTCCTAGGCTGGCACTAGCTTCCTGACTTGGGCTTATGTGTGCTGAGACACTGCCAGGAGCCCCTGGACGCACCGGACAGCCACCGAGCAGAGAGGTGTGGACTCAGGCACCAGAGAGCAGAGAACCAGCCCCACTGACAAGGGCACACGTTCAGGGAGGGACATGGGATAGGGTCAAGGTCAGGGGCTCCGGCTAAGCACAGACTTGGATCAAGACACCTTTCTGCCCTTTGCTAGGCTGTGGAGGCTTCAACAAGTCATTTAACTTCCCCACATCTCCATTTCCTCATCTGCAAACATCAAAAGATAACTGCACTTACGTCCTGGGCGTGTTGTGGAGATGCAATGCATAGCGGTAGCTGGTGCAGGTGGCCCTCGGAGAGCCCACCGGTGCTCATGCAGGCCCCCAGACTCTGTCTTGGGCATGTGTGCATGTATAGGCCCCACAGGCCCCTGACATCAGCACATGAACATCAGACTTGCAAACCTGGGCACACAGGTGTGTGTGGCACTGATATAAAGGGAACATGCAGGTGTGCCAACAGGGCTCACTGGTGTGGACACAAGTACACTGACGTGTGCACATGGGAAATGCCCAGACTGCTGGTGTGGCACATGCGCAGAGAACACTGGTCCAGGCTGGAGCCATCCCTGGCTCCCACACCGTGGGTCAGCTCCTCCAGGCTGGTGCTCGGGGAGAGGACTGAGCCCCTGCCCCCTCTGCCCACCCCACCCAGGTGCACATCCAGAATGCCACGCTCGCAGGAGGGGTGGCCGTGGGGACCGCTGCAGAGATGATGCTCATGCCTTACGGCTCCCTCATTGTCGGCTTCATCTGCGGCATCATCTCCACCCTGGGTTTTGTGTACCTGACGGTGAGGCTTCCAGGCAAGGGGCTGGGAGCTGGAGCATGCTGGGGTATCTGTGTTCCCAACAGTGGGTGGGCGGGGGTCCCTAGGGAGGGGATGGCCCTGGAGAATGGTGGGTCTCTGTGTATTGGGGGCCTCAGAACCCTGGCCTCCCCACACCCCTCTCCCCTGGACTGAGCAGCACCCATCACCCCTCTCCAGCCATTCCTGGAGTCCCGGCTGCGGATCCAGGACACATGTGGCATTCACAACCTGCACGGCATTCCTGGCATCATAGGTGGCATTGTGGGTGCTGTGACAGCGACCTACACCAGCAGCGAGGTGTATGGACAGGACGGGTGAGTGTGTAGTAGCTGCGGGGGGACTGAGCGCCCTCCTTCCTTCTCATTCCTCCTTCCTACTGCTCCCCTGGGGGCCCAGACTGTGTCTCTATCCCCTGCCTTTCCCAGTCTTGGCCACTGCTTCACGGGCCTCTCCTCACCCCTGTCCTTCCGCAAGAGCCTGGGCAACTACTGGCTCGCCCAACGCCCCCATTTTGCAGGTGGGAAGGCTGAGGCCCAGGGTTTATTTCACCTTGCTGTCTACTCACATTTGTGGGGTGGCAGCAAATGGTTACTTGCCCTTTCTGTGGAGCCCTGACCTGCCCCCCCTGTCTTTACCCCAGGCTTGTCCATACCTCTGGATCAAAAGGTTTCAAGCCTAACTGGACCTCACGCATGCAGGGCAAGTTCCAAGCTGCTGGCATCTTTGTGTCTCTGGCCATGGCCCTGGTGGGTGGCCTCTTCGTGGGTGAGTGGGAGTGGCCGGGCCACAGGTGGGGACACTGCGGGGCTCTGAGGGTGGAGGGCCGGGTGTACCAGAGGCCAACTCGGAGCTCCCAGGAGCCCTTTGTCTCTGCACTTGTGAGCATGGGGCTGGGGGATTTCGCCAGCTGAGGGAGGGGCTGGGCAGACAAAGAGGAAGTAGTGCCTGACCTCTTGGGACCCCCACCTGCCTCTAGGGCTCATTTTGAAATTGCCAATCTGGGGACAACCTTCTGACGAGAACTGCTTTGACGATGCGGTCTACTGGGAGGTACGTTCTACAGACCTGTCCTCCGCTAGGGTGGCTGCATCCCTTCCCCACCCTCTGCTCACACCCGCAGGGCAGGGGCCTGGGGAGCCAGAAGCTGGGGGATGGGGACAGAACCTGTCTCGTCCTGCTTGCCTGTCTGCAAGGCTGTGTCTCCTCCTGGGGGCTGAAGGCTTTATTCTAGAACAGTAATTCCCAAAGTGTGGTTCCCGTGCTCCCCAGCAGTGCCTGGGCACCTGTTGGAAATGCACATTATCGAGTCCCTCCCAGACCTCCTGAATCCAACATTCAGGGCCTGGGGCCCGGCACTCTGTGTTTTAACAACCCTCCTTGTGTTTCTGGTGAAAAACATGTCTGAAAACCAGTGCCTGAGACCAGTGGCTTTGGGCCCTTACATGCACACTGGAATCTGGGGAGCAAACCCGGGCCTCGGCTCCCAGTCACTTGGAGTAATTAAAGCTCTCCAGGTGAATCTAATGTACGGTCTTGGTCAAGAATCATTGTGCAGTGCTGGGCTTCAGACTGACTGTGTAAGAACTACCTCGAGACCTGGTAAAAAAGCAGCTTCCCAGGCACGGGCCCAGAAATTCTAATTTCTGCAATTAGGGACTGGAACTCTGCATGGGAACAAGCTCCCAAGTGATTCTGGTACCAAAACTGAGTTCCAGGACACTGCACGACTGTGAGCATCTAGAGACATGTCAGTACAAAAATCCAACATTGTTCTGGAAGCTGAAAATATTACAGTGTCCTAGAACTCAGTTTCTTTAAAAACATGCCACCATCCGGGCTTTCTGTGACTTCAGACAGGCCTCCTTCCCCACAAGTCAGGTTGGGAGGTGTTTACCTGTGTGAACACAGGTGGAGGGTGCCGGAGGGTCCTCCTTGCCTCCTGAACTTTGCCCACAAGGCAAGGGCGAGGGCCTGGCCTGTGTCTGTGGCCCCTGAGATGAGCATTGCCCACCACTGCCTTCCATGTGCTGCTGGGTCTCTAAAGTCATAACAGAAGTTGTCAGGGCAATTTTAACTAATAACCACTAGATACACATGCATCTTTGTATGCATATTTCACATACATAACTAATGTGCCTTTTAAATGTGCTCTCTTTAAATTATTTTTTAAATTATAAAATGCATAGAAGCTCATTAAAGAAAATCTAGAAATAGAGAAAACCGAAAGAAGTTCCACCACCCGAATTCAAGCACTGTTGATATTTTTGGCACAGTTCCTCCCAGCCTTTTTAAAAAACCTGCATAGATTTTTCTGACACAGCTGAGACCATAAGATACACCCTATTTGGTATCCTGCTCTTTTTCTTTATCCATTATCATAAGAAGTGTTTTGTGTTATTACATTCTTAATAAATTTTCCTTTTTAGCAGGATAATTGTTTTATTTCTATAAAGTCAGAACTTAAAAACTATTTTAGACACCGTGATTAGAAGCCGCATGGATTTAATGCTAATGAAATAAACTAAAAAAAAAAAGTTATCAATTCCAATATGTAGAAGTTCATTCACTCTTGGTTCTGTTTTGATCTTTGTAATTTACTCTAAGTTCACACCTTCTCCCTCCAGTGTACTATATGCCCTCCAGTGGTACTAAGTCTCAAGTACTACAGTTTTATGCCAATGGACGTGACCCACCATGCTGTTTCCTCTGTCCCTGACTGGCCTCTGGGTGGTTCACCTGGGCGATGAGGTGGCTTCCCAGGAGATCGGGATGAGATAGATGCCCGCCAGGACCACAGATGAGGCAGTCTTTAGGATCTACTCTCTGAGCCTTGAGGCCAAGGCAAAGCTGATCCAGCCTACCAACACCCCACCCACCAATCCACTCCGGCCTCCCTGCCTCCCCTTTGGACCCGCCTGCGGTTCAGGGAGCTTGCCGTGCTGCCTCTCACCTGGCACCTTACTACTTGTAAATCAAAAGTGGGTTTAGCACACCTAGAATCCCCCCAGGCTTGGTTATTAGCCTCTTGTACACATTTACAACTCCTTCTGTCGCCGGGCATTCACTTGAATGCCTTTCCATTGCTCTAGTGGGGCAAGGACTCTGCCTCGTCCTCGGAGTGCCCCAGCACCCTGGACAGTGGCTAAGGCGCCGCCGGGATTCGACGCTTGCGTGAAGGACTGCCCTGCTCCGTGGCATGCGGTCTGCACAGTACTCACGAGGTGGCGCCTGCCACACACCGTTTGCTGCTCCTGCCTTGTCCAGGCAGTTCTAGTTCCACCAGGCACCAGGGCCCTCTCGGAGCTGCCTCTTCTCTCTGCAGTTGCCTAAGGAACCGAAAGACGGTGCAGTCCATCCTGAGGACCCCACCTTCAAGCCCTCAGAACCTTAAACTCCCAGGGCAGGTGAGAAGCAGGTGAACATGGGCTTGGCTTACCAGTGGGGGATAATAACGGGCAGGTTCCCTCCCAGGGGCGGGGGGACCAACTCTGGGTATCAGAAAGAAATAATTTTGCCTCAGCAAAGGAGCAAAAAAGAAAGAAAGCATCAAGAGATGAGTATGTGGGCTTCCACCCCTCCTGCCTGGAATGGAGTTGGGGTGGGAAAGGCACTCAGAGGCAGACAAGGTGCACACTGGACAGACACAGGAACACGTGGAAGGCGCTCTGGACTGGAGGTGACCTGGGCTCACACTTGGCTTTGCTAGTCACTAGCTGAGTTATTTCGAGTATCTCTTCATCCCAGAGACTGAGCCTTAATTTCCTCATTTATAAAAGTGGAGATAACAGGTCTGGCTCTGCTGTGCTTGTTGATTCCCCCACCAAGACCCTTCCTCCTTTCCTGCCATTTCCTTGGCCCCTCTGTAGAATGCACTAAGCCATTTCTCTTGCTTTTTGTGTCTAACCCTCCAGAGCGCTCTCCAAGACAGGTGCAATTACTTCCCTCTTTTAATAGATGATGAAATTAAGGTTTGGAGAGGGCTCTGGCTCCTCGCGGCTGCTCAGAGCAAGTGGAGGACCTGGGTCTTTCCAGGTCATTATCTTTGGTCTTATCATTATTTGGCCTCCTTGGAAGCCAGAGCTTGAAAAGCGCCGTGTCTAGGGCAAAAGGCTGAGTGCCGTGGCCGGAGAGGATGTTGGTGTTTAGAAAAGAGAGAAGCGAGGCTGTGAATGGTTGCTTCCAATGCTTACCCCACCCAGAAAAGGCAGAGGTGCCCTGGGTGCTACAGCGGGACCCAACAGGGGCCCGTGGCTCTTGGCTCTCTCCTTGCAGGCTCCAGACTGACCCGCACTCCGGAAGGAGCCAGAGCCAGTGCTGACCAAGCTGGGAACACAAGCGCGAGGCGAGCAGCACCCCACTTGCTGGGGGTCCCAGGCGCTGCAGCTCTCCTTTCCTCTTCATCCCAGGGAGCCTGGCTGAGAATGGAGGAGGAGGAGGTGTAGACAATGTGGGCATCCACGCCGGGTCCTGGCTGCAGGAGGCCTGCCCCCAGGGGTCTTGGTGGCCACCTTCTGAGAAAAGCAGGCCAGAGTGGGGCAGGACCCGAGACCTCTGAGACCACTTGGCTGCCAGCCACCAGTTGCTGGGTCTTGCACTCTCTGCCTGCCTCTCAGCCAGCTCCTCCCATGCTCCCCCTGTCATGCGGATGGCAGCCTCTGTGAATAAACAAACATTCTTGGTGTTCCTTGTAGGATGGGTGTGAATGTTCCAGCAGGGCCAGTTTGAGGACCCAAGAGACCTGGCCTCCTGCCCCAGTCCTGGCCGCACACCCCAAGCTGCCTCCTGCACTTTAAGGGAACCCCCCACCACCACAGGCTGAGAAGGAAGAATATGTCCTGGAGCCACAGGCTGGAGCCCCCTGGCAGGGCTCAGCTTTTGGGCTGGGTGCTTCCCCAAGGCCCGCCCTTACTTCACATCTCCCATCCCAGAAACACTCGCTGCGAAAACTGCCATGCCTGCCGTGTCCTCGGTGTGACCCTGCTCCGTTTCAAGGGCATTCAGGCAGCGTGGGGAAGTAGAGAGGGAGGGCTCTTTAGGGCCAACCCCCCCCCACCCAACCCTTCCTTCCTTCCTCTCTGCCAAGCCAGCCCTGCTCTCCCTCTACAGTGGGGGAAGGTCTCAGCACATCAGGTCTACCATCACTTATTGAGACCTGCCACTACCCTGGACACAGGGGTAGTTCCTGCCCTTACAGGGCACACAGTCTGGCCTGACACACTGGACCTGACACCAGTATCCACCCTGAGCTCTGACAGGAGTCAGTAGCTTTCCAGAATGGGTCTCCGGAACAGGGTTTTGAAGGCTAAGTAGGAGTTTACTAAAAGGCTGGCAGAGAGACAGCTTGGGCAGAGACCCAGGGATGGGAATCAACACGGTGAGGTTTGGTATGGCTGAAAGGGAAGCGGGGCAAAAGCACGCCAACTGGCGGATAAGACGCAGAATCCAGATCCTTTGTGGAGCAGACCCCAGGGAAAAGAGGGTGAGAGGGGTGGGAGGAGAAGGCCTCCCCTGCCTCCAAAGCCACCCTCCCCGCCCCCTCACAACTCCCGCATGCACACACACAGCCCCTTTGCCGGAGGAGGGGCGCGAGGGGGAAGGACGGCGCTGAAATGCAACCTATTCATGTCCCCGCGATGTAACACCCCTCATTTTCCATGCTGGGTAAAGACAAAAACCCTTTACAACCTGTTTCTGGAACTTGTCAGCAGCTGCCAGGAGGAGCATGTTAATTAAACGTCGGCAAAGATGGAAGCCGGAGGCCCCGGCTCTAATTGGACAGTTTGCTTCACCGGATTGAAAAACATTGTGACAAAGGAGGAGGTGCGCGGCGGCGCGGCAGGGGTGCGGCGTGGTGGGGAGGCGAGCGGCGGCTTTGATTCCAGCGGATCCCGCCCCAGCCTCCCCCCCGCGGCGGGGCGGCCAGCCAGCCGGCCAGGCCGGGCGGAGGGAGACCTCGCCGGTCCCGGAACAGTATCGGGCCGGCGAGGATCAGGCTTTGAGGGCGGTGGGGCGGGGCGCGTTGCCCCACCCCGAGGGGATCCTGGGGGCTGTGCAGGGAGGGCGGCGGACCCGAGGTCGGGCTGTCGCCTCAGGGCAGTGTCCAGGCTGCCCTGGGCGCCCAGACCCTGGGGAGGGAGACAGCTGGGGCTGGGCTCCTGTTTCCCAAAGTAGCTCTGGGTCATGTAAGGTCTTTAAAATGTTGGCAGCTGGGAGGCTCGTCCTGGGAAACCAGGCCACAGAGGCTCTCCAGGACCTTGCAGAATGGTGCTTCCAGCAGGGCTGCACACACACACCCAGGCACTGTCCCCCCGTCGGTGTGTTTGAAGGTTTTCCCCCAAGTCCCCTCCTGTTCTTGACTCACAAATGGTGATGGCAGTCATGCACTGAGCACTGACTATGTGCTGGACACAGTGCTGCGTGCCCTCCACGCCCGTAGCCCCGAGAGAGAGCTTACATTACGCTCGTCTCACAGGCGGAGAGACTGAGGCCCAGAGAGGGTAAGTGCCCCGTCCAGGGTCACAGAGTTATTAAAGGTGGTACCAGGGTGAGACTGGAGCCCAGGTCCCTCTGGTCACAGGGTCTGAACCTCGGTGCCCGTGTATCCTGCTCTCTGCCTCCTGGCCCAGCCAAGAGATAAAGCCTTTAGGACTGGTCTCTAGACTGAGGGGTCTGAAATATGGGGGTGCAGAAGGCTGGGGGGGGTCATTCAGCAAGGCCTTATGCATATTCCCCAACCCCATATACATGCCCAGATTGCATCTCCTGGGGTGGGGGTGGTTAGCTAACACGGACAGAGCCCCATCCTCTGTCCCCTTCTGCCTTGGGCCCAGTTTGTCCCCCACCCCACTGTCACCTTGAGCTGCTGCCAGGGGTGCCCCTTTTGGGATGGGAGGCCAGGCTGGGGCCTGTGAAAGCCAGGAGCAAGTATGGGAAAAGCAGCCATTGTGGCTGCATGGGGATTAAGTGGGTGTGGAGGGCTGAGGCCATTGACAAACTGAGTTGTGGGGGTGCCGGGGGAGGGATGAGCCGTGTCCTGGCTGCCTGCTGGCTTAATCCCCTGGGAGTTGCAGCCTGAGGAGCCCCAGAAACATGGCCACTGTGGAGAGAGGGCTGCCCTTGTGGGGCGGGGGCAGGGGACAGCCTGCTCCTTCCCCGATGCTCTGGGTGGCCGCTCTGAGGAGGGGATGGCGGCACCTACCCGTGTGACCCCTGGCCTGGGCGGTGTGCAGAGCGGGACGCTCTAAGGACGCGCGGGCCCGGCTGATGCTGCCCCCACGTGTGTGTCTGAAGTTCAGGGCTCCCCATGAGGGGAAGGAGGCCTGAGGGCAGCAGCAGAGGTCCCTGACTGGGGAAGGGAAGCATGACAAGCACCGGGACAGCACTCCCACCAGCAGGCCCGAGTGGGTGCTCTGTGTGTGTGTGCGTGTGAGCATGTGTGTGTGTGTGTGTGTGTGTACACTCATGTACTCACCGTCAAGCGGGGTGCTCAAGAACGGCCCTTCAGAGGTGGCTGGAGGGGCTCTGAAAATTGTAATCAGATTAAGGGGGCCAATCACTTAGGGCTCTTGAAAAGGCCACAAGGTTTCTAATCAGCCCTGAGCCTCAGCCCAGAGCCGGGAAGGGGCTCGGCAGGAGCCGCCCGCTGGGGGGCCTTGGGGGTGGGGGCGGCTTTCTTCCCTGTCTGTCTCTGGTAATTATGTCAATTTGCTAGCCAAATTGTTTGCTCGAGTGGACGGGGGCTTGTGCCCCATTCATGTGGTAATGTGGGAAGCAGCAGGCCTCCTGGCTGGGAAAATAGGAGGGCGAGAGGACCCTTCTCCAGGGCGCAGGCAGACCTGCGGGTGTAGGGCACCCAGGCCTGGGGAACCCGTCCCCCACCAGCATGGGGCTCTCTTCCAGGAATTCTAGAAACTTCCAGCTTGGGTTATGTTCTGGGATGTCGTGTGGGGCCTGTCCAGATGGAGGACGGGGATGCGGGAACCCCAGAAAGGACAGAAGAGGTGGGCAGCTCTCTTACCAGTGCCAGGGCCTTTGTGGACCAGGCAGAAGCTTGAGCAGTTTGGCAGGTGCATGGGGTCCAGGAGGTGCCACAGAGGAGGGTGGGGTCCTGAAGGGTGAGCCGCAGCCCAGACTCAGGGACGTGCGCGGACACTAGGAGAAAGTTCTTACCAGTTTACTGAGCTTTGGTCGGGCACCACTCAGGTGCATCTACTTTGTACACAGTGGCTCAGTGACCTGACGGCAGCCCAGGGACGGGGGCACTGGGCTCCACGTTTCACAGGCAGAGAAATGAGGGCCCAGAGAAGCTCAGTGACTTGCCCAAAGCCACACGGGTAGTAGGTGGGGAGCAGAGATTTGAACCCAGCTCTGTTTGATCCCTCTGCCCGCTCCGCCTCACCCACACCACAGTTCATTTCTTCCTTTAAGCAGCAAACGGGAGCTGACAGTCCACCCAGTCTGAGGAGGCAGGGAGGGCATGGAGGATGGGGATGCTCAGGGAGGGCACGTTCATGGAGCCCCTCAGTGCTGTCATCCAGACACAGGTAACTAACTTCCTGTCCAGAGCCTACACTGGCTGCATTCTCCTGCCCTCTAGGCTACCCTTACCTCCCTAGGACCCCTTCAGCGCACAAGGACCCCTCCCATCTCCTTTGAGTGTGCTCCCCAATGCCTCCATTTCTCAGATCGTGGGGCCCTCCAGTCACTCCCCACTGGACTCATCAGGCTTGTTGCTGTCCCTCTGAATGTGAGGAGCCTCCTCCCCACAGATGCTCACAGGGCCGCTGCCAGACCCTGGCAACCCCAGCACCCCAACCCCAGTACCTCCTGTCCCATTCCGGATGGTTAAGATCTGCCCTGCGAGAAGCATGCAGGAGGCTGGGGTGTGGGGTACCACTGGTGTTTGGCACAGGGAGAGAGATCTGGGGAAGGTCTACAGCCCCAGCTCAGCACCCCTCTCCCCTCAAGTGGGAGAAAAGACCAGAGTCCAGGTTTACTTAATCTAAGTCAATAGGCAGTTTACCATTTGACCTCCACTGAGCCAGGTGTTGAGAAGCAAGGGTCCAGGAGGCTCCAGGCTCTAAGCACAGATTCGATTGCCCTGTCGGGGAGTGAGCCTCAAGCCAGGGATGCAGTGACTGGTCAGGATGGGAGAGGACTAAAGACTAAGAACAGAGAACTCAAAGTGCCTACTCAGTGCCAGACACGGTTCTGGACACATTCCGTATATGAATTTATTTAATCTTCACAATGGCCCTATGAAGTGGATATGGTTATTATCCCATTTTACCTCAGGAATAAACTGAAGCACAGAGAGGTTTATAACTTGCCCAGGGTCACACCGTTAAATATGTAGCAGAGCTGGGGTTCAAACCGCGCCCCAGATGCCCAGCCTTTTAAACACACCCTGCTAGTAGCACTGGGCTGTTACCCCTCCTAGGCCACCAGAAGAGAAGAAGGGGAGGCCCGAGGATCGTGGAGAGTAGGGTTGTGCAGAGAGGGCTGCCTTGGGCAGATCGGTGACGTCTGTCAAAGGCCACAGCCAGATCCAAGTGACCCTGTGGGTGAGGGCCGGGAGAGGGGACCATGGAACAATGACACAATCTCACTCCTCTCCCTCTTGGCAAAACTGACATGGGCCCATGGATTTGGAGGGTCAAATGGGCAAATGTCCAGCCCACCTTCCCAGAA